CCCCCCCCCCCCCCCCCCCCCCCCTTTTTTTAACCCCCCACATCCCAGGAAGAAAAAGAGAGGGGGGGGGGGGCTGCTGGGTTTTCAACCAGAATCATTTCAAAATGATCTGCTAGTCAGCCGTTCCTCCTGACAACAGTCAAGCCCGCACTGAGGAGTTTACATAATGGTGTTGCCATCCATTTTGCCTGTACTGAAATGAGAACTAGGTGGAAAATAATTGTCCCTTTTTGCTCTGGAGAGCTGCCGCTGTTGGGGGCTGGGGGGAGAAGACGAACGGAGGAAGGATGGCACAAAGCAGTGGCACGAATCACTTCCAGGTTAGGGAGGTGAAATGGACGTTCTCTCGGCAGCGCCTCTCTTAGTGGAAGCGAAACCCACCCAGACTTAAAACGCGCGTACAGCCCGGGATACTGAGGCCCCTCGGGAAAAGGGGGGAAACGAGCGAGCTGCGCAGAGCCTGGCGAGGCGATGGTGCCCCGAGACGAGGCCTTTCCAATGCCTCCGCTGGCGCTTCTCCCCCTCCGAGCGGCGAAGGAGACCCTCGCGGGACGAGGACGGAAGCTGCCCTGAGGAAGGAGCGAGTGGGAGGCGAGATGAGCCCCCGAGGCTGCAGACCTTCAGGGATTTCATCATATGCAACCAACTCTTTCCACGACCTCCTCGCGAAGATACTTGGGACTTGGAGTTTGCCTTCTCGCTTTTTTACAAGGAATCGTGTCCCTCTAAGGAGGACATAAGCGAACACATTAAACGTGTTGGGGAGAACCGGAATTATTTTTTTAATTTATTTTTTTAAAAAATAATTATGTCGGTAATGCTAAGTTGCAACAGGCGCCTCAGCCCTGATGACAAACAGATGCATTTTTAATAAGCCTGAGTCGGCATTCTTTCACTTGCGAGCGCATCAAACAGCCTCCAGGAGGGCAGTTGTCGCCCTACTTTTTCCACGCCGTGCCATTAAGGCCAAGGAGGTGGATTCATTTTAAATGGCATTGAAATTAGCAGCTCGAGAAAAGTAGATCATTTTTGCTTGGTAATTAATTTAATCTGTTAATGATAGCCAGCTAATCACTTGCTGATAACTATTGTGGCTATTAAAAGATGCAGCAGGCTGGGGAAGTGGTGGTGGTGGTGATCAGGTGATGATGTTTTCAGGAGGGGGAGAGGCAGACCCATAACGTGAGAAGAATTGTGCCCTTGGGTAATATTCTCTGGTCTCAAGCCCCCATTCTTAGAGAGAGAGAGAGAGAGAGAGAGAGAGGCGTGCCCTATCTTTGATTTACTAAGCACTTATTTTCCAAGTAGTTGGTTTAGGATTAGTTTGTTTAAGCGAAGGAGGCTCGAATCTTTTCAGCTTTCTTTAGCCAGCCCAGAGGGAAAGGGGACTGGGAGAAATACAGAACTAGCACTTGGTCGATTATGTAAAACCGCTGGTTTTATGGTAAAGCTCCCTTTATCGCAGTCATTAGAAAAAGGTGCCTCCCTAAACATTGCTGGGCTTTCCATCATTAGCTAGAATGGCAAAAGCGGACGATATTTCAAGCCGAACTACCAGAAACCTCGGTGGTGTGGCCTGCAGCTTAGTCAGGGCAAGGCAATGCACACTGGTTTGTCTGAATTTCTGCCTCCCCAGTCTTTTTTCTACAGCCCGCTCCAGTAGTTCCAGCGAGCTTTGGCTTCGTTTACTCACCTTTTCTTTAGATAAGATCTGTTGCCTGCCTGGTCACATCTTTTCCGTTTGATCATTAATGCTCAAAATAAAAATCAATTTGGTGCCTTACACAAGATGCTGGAGATCACAATTTCCTTGTTTATGAGAAGGCTGTCACAGTGGCATCGGAGAGGGAAGGCCTACCCCCCCCCCCCCGCCTCCAGTGGGGTATAGAGACAGTTGCTTTGATCGGGCTGATTTCCACCGCCCCCCATCCCCCACCCCGAGTCCGAAGCTATTACTTCCAGCAGTGGGTGTGAGAGAAAAACCGCTGGACTTCAGAGAGTGGACAGTCCACCTCCCATTGAAACCATGGCAACATCTCTATGGAATTCATCATAGTACTTTCAGGAGTCTGAAAGGCTATACAAGAAAACACATGGACTTCCAAAGTAATTGCTGTTATTGTCAGGTCTTGCAGCCAATTATTGTTACTATTACTACTATTATTATTTTTGCTACACACTGCAGAAAAGCAGTAGTAACTTAGGTCCACATGCTACTGAACTCATCCTAAGGAACTCTGCACTTGGGGTTAGGGCTGCAAGATGTTCAGATCAGCCTCTTCTGCATGTTCTGGATCCTGGACAGGAAGGCGCAAAATTCTTTCTTATTTCCCAGCCTAGCCCAGCAGCTTCTAAATTCCACCCTTCACCTTAAGGCTTTTCCGTATCTAAAAAGAGGCACCGCTAGGACAAATGTGCTGTCCTCCAAACTGACCCATGCCTGTGACCCTGGGTATCCTCCCTAGCACCAAGCCCTGCAAATGCCAGGACCAACTTGGAACTGACAAGTGTCTGCTTGAAAAGTGTTTTAGGTTAGGTAGGTGAACCAATTATTCCATTAAATCATTCCAGGAACGGCTGGAGTAGACAGAACTTGAAATAATACCTTGGGAAGGTTAATCTTCTCTACTCTCTCCCACCCTCTTTTACCTGGGTATTACCAGGAGTACCGCATTTAAGCTATTCTTCAAAACCCAGACTGCCAAATGTGTAGCAAGCATGAACCCAGGACAGGTTCCAAACACTGTCTGGAGAGTGTCTGGAGGTAAGCAATTTGTTGAAATGAGTCCTCTTTGCAAAGCCATCCACAATCCTGCACTAGCAACCAGCCTGCATCCCAATTCTCCTCCCTCTTCAGTGACAGGAAAATTAAAATTGATGAAAATCAAGAACAATGTGAGTAAACAGGGAACAATGTAAAGCTAGTGCTGCTCTGCCGAAGATAATTACCCCGAATCAATGCAACGTTTTACCCACAAAGAATGGAAACAGGCATCAGGTTAGGTCAAAGTGACCTGGTTTACAGTTCAGGGCATATTGGATTCTGTGTCTTCAGACAGACAGGTTAATGCTTTGGAGTTCTCCTAGCCTTGGATTGCCCTCTTTTCTTGTTAGGGGTTCAGTTTGATCATCTGCCCAACTGAGCCTTTTTATATGTTTTGTAGCTTTTGACCATCCAAACCCTATCTGGTAATTTCAGTTGCTGGTGACAGTTTTTGCTTTGTTTTACTAAAGGTAGCAAGGGAAGAGGTATCAGTACCCACAGATCCCACACCCTGCACACAGGGCCTTTTTAGGGGATGGTAGTGATGGAGGGGGCGTTCTCATAGGCTTCAGGAACAGGGGGACCCAGTTATATGGTTCGGAATTTGAAACAGTAAACTGGATCAATTCATTCAAGGCAGCACAAATAATCAGTTCAATATAATCCCAAGCGTTATTTCAGTAGCTGGGACTCTCCACACCCCCTCCCATTCCCTAGGCCATTGAGTTCAATGGACAAAATGTAAGGGAGGGAGGTAGGAAATGCATTGATGGGGGGGCTCTCTAAATCTTTGAAAGAGCTCCTTGCACGTCTTGATTCACCCCCATATATCGTTTCTGAAGGCAGAGCCAAGGCGAGGGGGCGGATGGAAGGTTCGCCCTTGAGCAGAATGGATCGAAGGCGTTCGAATCCAGTGCAGGCCCACGGAGTTCAAAGGGCATTCAAACGCCTAGAGGGCAGCAGCCCGACGCGTGGAAGGACTTTCCCTGATGTCAGTGGAACCGTCAACCTCTAACCGTTCCGGGGCTTTGAAGTCAGAAGCTGGGGGGGATCGGGCTGCCACAGCCTTTGTAAAGAGCAATACATCTTTCCCAGCAGGACGGCCTTTCGCCTGTTGACAAGGAAAGGGGGTCTTTTCTCTCGGTAGGATGCTCTCCTAAAGGCGTATGTGTCTAGCCGACAGCATCAGAGATGTGGAGCCGCCGATTCTGGCAGGGATCGCTCCTGCTTTTCCCGACTGACGCCGCGCTTCGCTAAACTAGCCACTTCGGGATGCGCAAGTCCCGAATATTTGGGCCACAATTAACTCGGCCACAAACTGAACATGTCACGAAATTCTTCCCCGTTGGAGCTACAGTCCTAAACGCTGGCACTCTCTTCAATTGGAGGAGGTCTTCCGAATAGGCATGAATGGATGCCGGCTGTTCGCTTGTTTGCCGCGCCTTCGCTACTCAGCCAGTTTGGTTCCTGATCCACAGTCGATTTCAACTTTACTTCAGGCTTGGAGTTGATACAGGAGGGAGAGGAGAAAGGGAAGGGGTCCTGCCCAGAATGTAGGCAAGAATCG